CTATCCTCCAGTCACACAAACTGAAAATTGTTCCACTTCACTGCAGTTCTGTAACCATATGGGAACCAATCCTGTCTGTGTTCTGTGCACATTTAAAATTCCTGCTGAATGACCTGCCCTGGGAGCAAGTTACCAGTGACCTAGGGCTGCGGCGGAAGGAGGGTGCAGGTGGTGGTGGGCGGGGGAAGAAGAGCCCAAGGCTGGGGCAGTAGGAGGTGTGGGGAGGGGGCAATGGTGAGGGGATAGGGGGGAGCCCAGAGCTCGTGCAGCAGGATATATATATATATATATATATATATGGGGGGGCAGGGCTGGGACAGCAGGGGGGTGCAGTGAGGAGCCCAGGGCTGGGACAGGGGGCAGCCAAAAACTTTTTTGCTTGGGGTGGCAAAAAACCTAGAGCCGGCCCTGGTGATGAGAATATTAGAGGTCTGGAAAAACTCTCTGATGAAGAAAGATTGAAAACATTGGAATGTTCGAGAGGACACATGGTAAATATATAAAAAATAATGGCTCATCTGGAGAAGGTACTCTGTTCATCCTTTAACATAATACAAGAACATGGGGACATTCAATTAAAGGAAATACTCTTTCACACAACACACAATTAGCCCTTGGAACTCATTGCCACAAACTATCTTTGAGACCAAGAGCTTAGCAGGATTTGGAAATTTATCTGGATAGCAAGAGCACCCGGAGTTAAAATAAAAAGGGTTTAAAAAAAAAAAAGGCTTGGGCAGGGATATAAACCTTCATATTCAAGGCATCAGCCAACCCCTGATTGATAGAGGAATTAAGAAAAATTTTTCCCCATGTGCAAGTCATTCCATAACTGCCCACTACAGACTTTCTCTCGCCTTCCTCCAAGGCTTCTAGTGTTGGCCACTGTCCGAGACAGGATACTGGGATAGATGGATCACTCCCTATGCTTCTAAACTGGGTGGAGTTTTGAACAGCAGTGAAAATGAAGAAAGAACCCCCAGGGGCCGCAGGGAAATCTGACGTGGGCAGGAAAGATGAAGATGAGTCAGTTGGGGAAATTGCCTGAAATCAGTAGAAAATTGATCACAGAACCCCGGCCATTCAATGGGAGGGGTGAACGTCTAAGGCAGCAATGCCACAAGATACCTACGGCAGGGGACCAAGTGGGCAGTGCGATTCTGGAGCTGAGAGTTTACAATGAGCAATGTCAACACAAAGGCAGTGGAATGGCTCCGGGTCACAGAGGAGGGAGTTATGGGGCTCTGGTGAGACCACAGCTGGAAAATGGCATTAGTTCTTGGACACTGCATTAATAGAAGGGTGCAGTCAGACCAGAGGAAGTACGTGCAAGAGCAGCAAAAGTTCCTGGATGGTTGGAGGGCTTACGAAGAGACATTACAAGAGTGTAGTTGTGCAACAATATAGGGTACACGTGATAAATCTCTGAGCATTTGAAGGCTGCAGAGCCCGAGGAAGGCAATTGGTCAGTTATTTGGGGCAGAGTCTATTTTGTATCTCTTTATTGTAGCTATTTCACCTTGTGCTTAAAATAATGATGCCCTGATCCTCTAAGTGCTTTAAACAAACATTTCAAACAAAATGCATATGGACACGTGCAACCTGTCCTCCCCTTCTTGTGATCTGAGCTAACCAGTCAGGAGCTAAAAACCAGAGCAATGACTCATACCAGGCATTGCCCTAGTTACACCCAGGGATAGAACTGAGAGTGATGGAGCTACAGTGAGGAAGAAGAACAGTAAGGTGAATCCCAGGAAAGGCTTCCTGAGCATGAGATGTATTGGGTGGAGGGATGGGAGCAGTGTGAGTCCCCTGCTTGGGCCATTTAAAACTGGCCTGCAGGAGATACTAGAAAGTGAATTGTGGGACTCAGTCTGATGCTGGCCCCAAGGGATGGGCTGGATGGGACCTAAGAGTCCTTTCCCATCTCAAATGCTTATGACATGATTACAGTGTTTGCTCATGGGGGGTTGGGGAGACCACAGTTAGTCAACCCAGCCTTCCAAACTCCAGCTCACCCTGCTGCATGACCCATGGGTCTCAAACCTGGGTCTGCAGGAGCAGCCATGCTCCAACCCTCCACCAGATAGCCTGCTAATGCTTGCGTACCTGGGACCCGTGAAGCCCAGCCCCAGTTTGAGGCTCTGCCCCTGCAGTCCTATTGGTGGAATCCTGGAGCAGCTGATTGGCCTATTGTCCCTATTTAAGCCAGCAGCGGGACCAGGAAGCTGTCTGAACTGGGCTCCACCCTGTTCTAGACTGTGTGCCCCCTGTCTTGATTTCCTGGCATCTGATTCGTGATTCTAACCTCCTGGTGTCCTGACCCAGCTGACTCCTATCTTGTGACTGCACTCTAGCTCTGACTGCTATGTCTGGCTGCCCACAAGCTGTCCATGACAGGCTGTTCGGACCACACTAGAAGCATCAGACTCGCCCAAATATCCCCCCTCCCCCCGCATAATCAAGCACTGCAGGCACGAATTACGCAGATGACCTCAGACAACTAGCAGCTGCAGGAGCAAGTGAGGCAGCTGAGTGGAGAATACTGTGCTGCCAGTGCAGTGCCTGGCCCTGAACAGGAGCCTGCAATACCATTGCCACAATGGCTTGACAGGAACCAGTGGCAGTTCCAGGGCTTCATGAACCAATGCCCCCTTCTGTTCCAGGTGCATCCCCAAATCTGTGCCTCTGACCAGGCCAACGCAGCCCTGGTAATCAGCCTGCTGACAGGAGATGCATTAGACTGGGCCTCCCCCTTGCTGGAAAACCATAGCCCAGTGCTGTTGGACTGGGATGCTTTTCTCCAGTTGATGTCAACCATCTTCGATGACCTGCACTGAGCGCAAGCAGCCGAGGCAGCCCTGAGAGGGCTCCGGCAGGGGCCAGGCATGAGGGCCTCCTATGCAGCACTCTTCCGCCACCCTACAGCACATACGGAGTGGAACGAAGCAGCGCAGCCATACCAGTTCTGATGGAGCTTTCAGGAAGAAATCAAAAATGAACTGGTCCATGTAGAGATGACAGCAGGCCTAGATGCCTTTGTGGACCTTACCATACGCATGGATAATCAGCTGTGAGAACAAAGGGAGGAGAAAGCGGTTGCCTGCAACCTCCCTTGCCATGGACCATGACCCCAGCTTCTGTATCACCTGCCGAACCCATGCAAGCCAATCTGCCTGACCAGCGACTCACACCTGAAGAAAAGGAACGACACCGTCAGCACCACTTGGGCTTCTACTGTGGTGAAACTGGCCGTGCCATCTCAGCCTGCCCAGTACGAATGCCAAAGAGCCTGGGGACCAAGCCGACCCAGGACTGGTGTGGGGAGCCAGCATGGACTTTGAAAGAAGAGAACTTCCCCATACCCTAGTCCTCACTGAGCTGCACACTGAGCCCCATACGCAGGCTTCCCCTTTGCAGGTGCCTATCAAGCTGTGCATACCGGGGGACCCTGACAGATTCCCCTCCACCAGGCCCTCATCAATTTGGGAGCAGTGGACAATTTCATGGATGCAGCTACAGCTCAGACTCTAAAGCTCCTCCTGCTACACAAGGCCATGCCCTTGATCCAGTTGAGGAGGAGACTGTCCTCCTGGAGGCTGTTATTCAGGAACACAGAGAAATGATGCAATTCAGTGAGATCCATGTCCCACATTTTCCCCTGATCCTTGGCATCTGTTGACTGACCCTTCATGACACCCTCATTCACTGGTGAGAATAGAAAGTTACCTTCCCTTCAGAACTCAGCTGACTGTAGGAGCCAGCGAATGTTGCACGCAGACCCAAGAAGGCTCAAGTAGGGGTAGTTGGCTGCACTGAAACACCTACTGGGGAAGCTATGGAACTTCCCTCCCCACCCAAGGTTGTGACAGTGGGCTCTGCCTTTGGCTACTAGGTCTGGCCCCCCATGACCCAGCCATCCAGCACAAGTGAAATGTTGGGGCTAGGGAGGGAATTTAAGCAGCGAACTAGTGGCTGCTAGCACCCACCTTCTCCGCATGCTTCTGTTACAGCCCAGCATGCATAACACACTTGAGTGGCGGTGCACAGCTGCTAGAGGATGGAAGCCACCTGCACTTTCCTCCAGCCATGTTCCCATTGTCATCAGGAGAAGGCCATTGGACCTCCTTCAGTAATCCAACATCCCCTTCCCTACAACTCATTATTACCTCTTCATGCCTTACTCCCCCCCCGCCCCAGGAGCCAGCGCCATTCCTCCAACTCCCACCTAGCCAGCATCAGAGCCCCCTCACATCCTCAGTCAGCACCATTCCTCCACCTCCCACCCAGCCAGCGCCATCCCTCCACCTCCAACCCAGCCAGCTCCCCCTCACGTCCTCAGTCAGAACCATTTCTTTACCTCTCACCCAGCCAGCACCCCCTCATGTCTTCATCCAGCACCATCCCTCCACCTCCCACCCAGCCAGCACCTTCGCCCCATCACATCCTCAGCCAGTGCCAGCGCCCCCTCACATCCTCAGCCCGTGCCATCCCTCTATTCCCACCCAAGCAGCACCTGCGCCCCCACACATCCTCTGCCAGCGCCTGTGTCCCCTCATGTCCTTAGCAAGTGCCATTGCCCCCTCACGTCCTCAGTCAGCACCATCCCTCCACCTCCCAACCAGACAGCACCTGCACCCCCTCAGTTCCTTAGCCAGTGCCATCCCTCTGTGATGGGTTCGGTCAGAGACACTCCCTTGGGACTGTCACCTGATGTGCTGAAACTACCTCTGAGTCCATTTTTCCTGCCAGGTTGGGACTCCAGAACACTGTCTTGTCCTCAGCCAGCACCATTTCTCCCCCTTTCACCCAGCCAGCTCCCCCTCATGTCCTCAGCCAGCGCCTGCGCCCTCTCATGTCCTCACCCAGCACCATTTCTTCCCCTTTCACCCAGCCAGCTCCCCCTCATGTCCTCAGCCATCACCATCGACCCCTCACATCCTCAGCCAGTGCCATCCCTCCACCTCCCACCCTGCCAGCACCATCCTTCCACCTCCCACCCAGCCAGCGCTCCCTCACATTCTCAACCATCACCATCACCCCGACGTCCTCAGTCAGCACCATCCCTCCACCTCCCACCCAGACAGCGCTCCCTCATATCCTCAACCATCACCATCACCCCCTGACATCCTCAGTCAGTGCCATCCCTCCACCTCCCACCCAGCCAGCACCTGTGCCCCCTCATGTCCTCAGCCAGCACCATCCCTCCACCTCCCACCCAGCCAGCGCTCCCTCATGTCCTTAGCCAGTGCCTGTGCCCCCTCACATCCTCAGTCAGACCATCCCTCCACCTCCCACCCACCCAGCACCAGTGCCCCTTCACATCATGAGCCAGCAATAGTAGTCACAATCATTTAACACAGCCGTGCAGAGTCGTCACATAGATCTACCAGCGTAGCCAAGGTGGGCTAGTGGATTGTTTCCTGGGATTTTGCATTTTTGTGGCTCTTTTTGTGAAGCGTTTTTAGATTGTGTTGAAATCTGCTCCATACTCCCCATCTCTCAGACAAATTACGTGTGGTCCTTTCTGAAAATCTGTTTTCTAATCTATGTGATATTACTGTTTTTTTAACTCCAACTGTTCCTTTCACATTGAGCTTGTCCTAGTGTGTTGATAATCGTGTTTATGATAGAAATCAATATATAATTTGAAAACATATTGGTAACAGCCCAATTTCCATTTTCTGCTTATGTTTTTTTACCCCTCCAATCCGTCCCACAATCCCAAGCAGAGCCCCTTTGGCCATTTTTCTTGCTATACTCTTTGTTTCTCAGAGGAACTGTCCTCTGCTCTACATGACGTGTGAGGTGTGGAGCAGTTCCCCATCTTCTTCCACGTAGACATGCACACATATGGATTTTTTTAATACTTCCTCCTGTTGCACCCTATTCAGTAGGTTCCTTCATTCTCTAAATTTCCTTCCCTGAAATCCAATAGTCATGTACTGCTTTATTCTGTGCTCCACCCTTTACCAACCTGAATCCAAGTAGCCTGTAATCATAGGTTCAAATTTCCTTATTATTCTTGTATTCCCAGCTGGTTCCTCTCTGTTGATAAGAAGTAGAGCTACGTTGGATTCCCTGTCATAAAGCTGTTTTCTGATTTACCTGGGAACATCTTTGGTACCCATGCCTGGGTGTCTGTCATGCAACAGATGATACTTGGGTAGTTGCCATCCACCTAGACCATGGGTCTGAGTACCTCAGATTGGTCCAGGAATGTTTCATTGTCTGTTTCCTCCAGTCCTGGTGGTCTATAGCAGCTATTCACTGCAGTTTCTTCTCTAATTGACATTAGCACTTGCTTATAGCACAGATATCTGTAATAAGAATGTCCTCCATGGATGCAATGTTGCTGTTTTCCTTTCCCTTGCTACTTTGTAATCCTGTTTTAGTACAGGATATCACATAATGTGCCTGTATAATGACCACCTAATTGGGGACCCTCAATGCTAAAAGAATAATCCTCCACTGCTTCTGAGCTACTTGAATAACTCCTTTAGCTGATAGCTTTAGTAGACTTTTAATCTCTTATATGAATCAGCCACTAGAGGGAGACAAAGTGACATATTACTAGTATGAGTTACACTAGCCTGTAGTGTCACTTGTGGATTAATATTAATTATATCTGTACCTTCTTTTCCCCTTTTAATCTGTGAGCACTGAGTCCCATGTGGTATGTATGTGACGTGACTACCAGTGGGAAGGTATTAGAACCATAAAGCAGCACAAATGTCATATTTCCTTTTATTTTTAATAGGCTGTGTCACAGGGCTGTGGTGTCACCCATTACAACTTGCTGAGTGACACAGCAAGATTTTCCTGGAGGAGAGAGAAATTGTGAGAGGCGAACAAGCTCATGTTTCATTCAAGAGAGGCCATTAGGCAATGGTACATAGACCTTGTGCTGGCTTGCTGTATGGAGGTGAATGCCCTTTACCCTCATGGCCTTTAATGGTAGCAGCAATGGCTAATGAAAAGGAATAAATATTGACCCCAGCCATAAATGCTGTTTGGTGAATTTGTGTATGGTTGTGGGAAATTTACACTTGCAGCCAGGACAGCAGTGTAGGAGAGAAGTGGACATCGTCAAGGGAAACGTTTTGTTCTACAAGAGGGTGGAAGCAGCTGCAGGGTTCCAGCACCATCCTATATGGAGAACAGACAGAACTGCTGTACTGACAGTGCTTCTTAGCTCCACCCTGGTGGGTTCTCCTTGCATGCTGAGCATGTGTGGAAGGCATGTGTGAGGTGCGTGGGGAGGGTCATCACATTAATGTTCTTAACACTACAACCCACTGAGCAGTGAAAAGGACACGCCAGCATGGCAGGATTACGTTGGCTGGTGAAAGCACAGCTGTGCATGAGGTGGCCTCCAGATAATGAAATTCCACTGGCAGGCAGCATGTTCTGCAGGGTGTTGCTGCCAGTCCATTTCCCTCACTGCCTTTGTTTATTACAACCAAGTAAACGCCATCAAGAGCTCACAGCCTTTCCAAGGTGCACTTCCTGAAGCATTTGTTTCTCATTTTGCTCATGTAAGTCCCCTTGCGGTATTTTATTTGCATTTTACATGGCAACTTGAAAAGGAGACTCAGTGAGGCTGCAGCATATTAGCAGCATTGCTCAGACCCTGTTGCAGTGGTAATCCCTGTAGACAGGGAAAGCTAATTTGAGTGGCTGCAGTGAGGGTGGGTTAAGTTTATAGGCACTGATTCATAGAAACCAGCTCAGGCAAAGACCTTTTGTCTGATAAACAAATCGCTCTGCATTAAGTTACAAACTGTCACCCAGCACATTTGGCAAGGCCGGGGGCGCAGCTGCATGCTCCTCCCGGTGTGACCACTGGTGCTGCTCTCCCACAATTAATGGGAGAGCTTACACCTGGAGCTCATTAGCAGCCCTTTTATGCAGCTCTGATGAATGTGAGTCCTAAGCCAGAGACAGACCAACAATCAAGCTTGGCCACTCAGTGAGGTCTCATCAGCAGCTCGTTGTATTTGGCTTATCTTGTCTTCTCCCAGGTGTCCTCTGCTGGATGTTTCATCTTCCAGATGGCCTGGACCTGGAAGAATCTTTATGTTTTAATTTCTGTTCAAAGCTTTCTCTGGCCCTCGCCTCCGTCCCTTCCCCAGATAACAACATGACAGGCTGACTGCAATGCCTGCATCCCCTTTCTCACCATTCCCTGGCCGTGCCAGATTTGACTTATCAAGCTTCGCTTTCATGTGATAATTTAAAAAAAAAAAATACCCCCAGTAGCCGTTTTCTTTCGTTTATGTAAATTTTCTTTCAGCCTCTTCAGCAAGTTTCTGTTGTTAACTCCTGGGCAGACAGTAAATCAGACTGAAGGATGCATAGCCCATGAACTCCACTTTACCAGCTTGTGTTGCCTTTGCATTATATCTTGTCCTGTGACTCCATTACCTGGTAATAAATCTCCTCTCCATGCCTTGCTCCTGAACTGCAGGTCTGTACAACTCTATGGATAGCTGGATGATTGTCCCAAACATCAAACAGAACCACTACACCGTGCACGGGCTCCAGAGTGGCACCAGATACATCTTCCTTGTCAAGGCCATAAACCAAGCTGGCAGCCGGAACAGCGAACCTGCCAGGCTCAAGACAAACAGTATGTGCCAGGGCTTTTTTTTTTTCAGGTTGGGTGGGAAGTAGAAAAGCAGCTTTATCAATCTTGGAGTTTAAAAGGATATTGCTGAGATTTTCTTTAACTCTTTAATTGCTGGGGCTTATAACCATCCTTTGGAAACTTGACATCTTTGTTGTTTCCTTGTTTGACTTGTTTTTTCTTCCCATCATGCTCAGAAAGGCCAGTTTGCACGTGAGCCCTGGGCATTGCATGCTAGCTGGTGTCTCTAGGGTTGCCTCAGAATGCTGTGTCCATGTTGCTTGTTGGGTATGGTTTGTTATTGTAGGGTTATTCATGAGCTCCTTTATGCAAACACGTCTGTCTCTACTGTTCCCTCGTCCCCAGTCCCTTCCCCTCCATTCAGCTGTTGCATACTGTCTAAATCCTAGGCTCTGGGGCAGGGACTGTTTGGGCAAATGTTCAGGTCAGTTCATATCCACTCTGAACCCACTTCTCCAAATCATATCCAGAAATCTGGCTTGATCAAGAAGCGAAAGTAGCAGAAATCTGGTTGCACAACCTGTTCTTAATGAGCATTCCACATTTTTGGTGCTTAATAAAGTCAAACCTCTTGAAATTGACCTCTCACGTACTTCTGAGCACTGAGCTTGGTGTCTACTGGTTTGTTAAGAGAGGGTCACTCGTGTGAACTAGACAGCTCACTGGTTTATTATTGTGGGGTTATTTGGGAGGACTGTGAGGCATGTGCTGGTTTGTTATCATAGGGTTATTAGGAAAAGAAACCTGAAAAGCATCTATATGGAAAATGTCATGGGCTTTGCCAACAAACATGAGAAAAAAGTTAGTTCAGACTTCGGTTCTTCCAATCTAAATTCCCTCAGAGGGGAGGGAAAGAGTTAAAGACATTCTAAAAATGGGAGCGGGATCAGACAACAGGCTCATTGACTTCAAAGGGAACAGGATTGGATCCACTCTGGCCATGGAGTAGAACATGATATGTGGAGGATTTATACCTCATTTCCCATTAGCTCAGTAACACATCTGGGATGATTATTTCACTCTTAGTGATGATTTGTAATACAAAAAAAAAAAAGGTAAAAATGTGAGAATGGGCAGTCGGTATCCAAAGTAGTTGCAAGTAGCTTGTCTCTCCGCTTTTGTCCAGCAGTGGCCATGCCTTGTTGATGATTATAAGATTCCTCTGTCTGGTCCTGACGTGCCCAGAGTTCTTTTTTGTTCCCTTTTCTTGATGTTTCAATCATGTCTGAATTCTGCACTTGAGTAGGCTTGTGAAATGATTTATTGCTTCTACCGCCTCAATCTTTTCATGAAACTGTGGCAACTTTAAATACAATACAATTAAATAAAGTCCATACATTGGAGAGAATGGATAGAAGCTGATGAAAAACAAACTCCAATCTAATTTTCTTTTGTTTATTAAAAATGTATCCCTCCCTCCAATGCTGTTTAAAAGCATGCTCCCTGCTTTGAACTACACTCAAGATGGAAATAAGAAATTGGTGACTTGACAGGCCAAAAGCTGATATGACAAACCTACTCAGAAGAAAGGAAAATAGGTTAGTTTTAGTAGCTCCCTGGGGAGGTTGCAACTTGTTATTTTATTCAGTGTCAGTCATCAGAGATATTAGCGCGCTGCTAAGTGTGGTGCTTTACAGACGAGCCTGATTTACTGAAATATATACGGGATCAAATTTTTAATTCTGATTGTTCACTGTCTCTAGCAGCTTCCTAATTTGTCAAACTGTAAAGCAGGAATTGCATAAAGTGCTATAAGAAGTGCTCAACATTGCTGATATGCATATTACAAAATGAATCTCTAACAGTGGGATTGTATGATCATTTAAATCACTGGTCTACAATAGAAAGGTTTAACCGAACCCTCAAGGCTATGGAAGGTGGTAAGTCGGGACGGGAAGGATTGGGACACCCCACTACCCCACCTTATGTTCGCTATCCGGGAGGTACCTCAGGCCTCAACTGGGTTTTCCCCCTTTGAGTTATTATATGGGCGTCACCCCCGTGGCATACTAGATATCGCCAAAGAGATCTGGGAAGAGGAACCCAATGAGGGGAGAAATATAATAGAGCATGTAATGCAGATGCGAGACCGGATAGCCCGGGTTACCCCTATTGTACGGGAACATTTGGAGAAGGCACAGGAGGCCCAGCGAACCCATTACAATCGCCAGGCAAGAGTGCGACAGTTCCAACCAGGGGATCAGGTTATGGTGTTGGTACCCACGGCAGAAAGCAAGCTTCTGGCCCAATGGCAGGGGCCCTATGAGGTGGTTGAACCCATGTGGGAAGTAACCTACAAGGTGCGGCAGCCAGGACGCAGAAAACAAGAACAGATTTATCACCTTAACCTTCTGAAACCCTGGCATGCACAAGAGGCATGCACAACGGTCCAAAAAGACCTAACCCAGGAAAACAAGCCTTCCAAACAGGTGAGAGTGTCTCCCGCTTTAACACCAGACCAGAAGAATGAGGTGTCTGAGATGATCTTCTGGAACCAAGTTGTGTTCTTGACAAAACCGGGTCGAACAACCGAGACATATCACCACATTGTCACGAACCCTGGGGCCAGAGTAACAATGAGGCCCTATCGGGTGCCAGCGGCAAAAAGGGAGGAAATAAAAGCAGAAGTAAAAAAAAATGCTGGAGTTGGGGATCATCGAAGAATCCCACAGTCAGTGGTCCAGGCCAATCGTGCCGGTGCCCAAACCTGATGGCACCACAAGATTTTGCAACGACTTCCGGCGACTAAACGAAGTATCCCAGTTCGACACGTACCCCATACCTCGCATAGATGAGCTAGTGGACCGTCTGGGTAGTGCCCGGTATTTGACTACCCTAGACTTGACAAGGGGTACTGGCAGATTCCCCTTGCAGAAGATGCAAAGGAAAAGACTGCATTCCCTACAGCAGAGGGTCTTTTTCAATATACTGTCCTCCCTTTTGGACTACATGGGGCCCCAGCTACCTTCCAGCGCCTCATGGACAAGCTATTACACCCGCATAACAGTTATGCTGCTGCCTACTTGGACGATGTGGTTATTCATACCCCAGACTGGGAAACCCACCCGGAGAAGGTGGAGGCAGTCCTCGATACCTTCAGGCGAGCTGGCCTTACAGCAAACCCTGCCAAGTGCGCTGTAGGGTTTACAGAGGCCAAATATCTTGGCTACGTTGTGGGAAAAGGTTTGGTAAAACCCCAAGTGAACAAGTTAGAGGCCATCCAAAATTGACCCCGACCAAGTTGCAAGAAACAAGTCCGGGTGTTCCTAGGTGTGGTGGGGTATTACCGACTATTTATCCCCCACTTGGCCACAAGGGCAAGCCCCCGACAGACCTAGTGAAAGCCCATGGACCTGATCTGGTGAGATGGTCTGACGCAGCAGAGGAAGCATTCACAGACCTACGGACTGCCCTCTGCAGTAACCCCGTACTGATAGCCCCTGATTTCACCAAGGAGTTTATCCTGCAGACGGATGCATCGGAAGTAGGGTTGGGGGCCATTCTATCACAGATGGTCGGGGAGGAGGAACACCCAATTCTATACCTCAGTCGGAAACTCCTTCCAAGGGAACAAAAATATGCAGTGGTGGAGAGAGAATGCCTCGCTGTAAAATGGGCCATGGAAACATTGTGCTACTACCTGCTCGGGTGCAGATTTGTCCTCCTGACCGACCATGCCCCTCTTCAAGGGATGCAGCGGAACAAGGAGAAGAACACAAGGGTGACCAGATGGTTCTTAGCCCTCCAACCTTTCCAGTTCCATGTGCAACACAGAGCAGGGAGCCGTCATGGCAACGCCGATGGCTTGTCATGTGTGCACTGTCTGGCATCCCAAGCTGCCCAACCCCTCGGCATTGAGCAGGGGGGAGGGATATGTGACAGACCCAGACCAGTTGGGTACAGGAGTCTGGTAGAGGGCAAATATACTCGTCACTGGATGAGTAGTTTTCTGTTCCCTGAGTGACCAGAGAAGGGGCTGCACTAGAGTAATCAGGAACCTGCTAGAACCAGTTAAGGCAGACAGGCTAATTAGGACACCTGGAGCCAATTAAGAAGCTGCTAGAATCAATTAAGGCAGGCTAATCAGGGAACCTGGGTTTTAAAAGGAGCTCACTTCAGTTTGTGGTGCGAGTGTGAGTAGCTGGGAGCAAGAGGCACAAGGAGCTGAGAGTGAGAGGGTGTGCTGCTGGAGGACTGAGGAGTACAAGTGTTATCAGACACCAGGAGGAAGGCCCTGTGATGAGAATAAAGGTGTTTGGATAGGGTTACCATACGTCCGGATTTTCCCGGACATGTCCGGCTTTTTGGGCCTCAAATCCCCGTCCGGGAGGAAATCCCCAAAAGCCAGACATGTCCGGGAAAATAGGGAGGGAGGGGCCGGCGGTGCTCGGCCGGGGGCTGGAGCCGCTGGAGCCGGCGGTGTTTGGCTGGGGGCCGGGGCCGGTGGCGTGGGGCCGGGGCCAAGCCGGGCGGGAGACGCTGGGGCCAGAGCCTCTTGGCCTGGGCCGGCCGCCAGAGGAAGCCGCTCGGCTGGCAGGGGGGCCGGACTGGGCCGCGCCCCCCCCAGCTTACCTGCTGCCTGCCTGCTTCCTGCGAATCAAATGTTCGTGGGAAGCAGCGGAGTTGGGGTAGGGCCGGGAAGGGGCGGGGCCGGGGCCCCGTGGAGTGTCCTCTTTTTGGACACTTAAAATATGGTAACCCTAGTTTGGAAGAGGCCATGGGGAAGTAGCCCAGGGAGTTGTAGCTGTCATGCAGCTGTTACAGGAGGCATTAGAGACAGCTGCAGTCCACAGGGCCCTGGGCTGGAACCCGGAGTAGAGGGCGGGCCTGGGTTCCCCCCAAAACCTCCCAATTGACCTGGACTGTGGGTTCTTTCAAAGGGGAAGGTCTCTGCGCTGTTCCCCAACCCACATGGTGAATCTCTGAGGCAAGAAAATCCACCAATAAGCGCAGGACCCACCAAGATAGAGGAGGAACTTTGT